TCCCACTGCTGGTTGCCTGGGAGAAGAGACCAACGCCCACCTGGTTACAACCTCCTTTCACGGAGTTGTAGAGAGTGATGAGGTCTCCCCTGAGCCTCCTCTTCTCCAGGCTGAACAACCCCAGCTCCCTCAGCCTCTGATATTTCCCTGTAACATAGCCCAGAAAACTTGTGAAGGGTATGGTGGGTATCCTTCTGCAAGTATAACTAGGAACTTCACATAGTGCCTAATCTGGAGGCTGGGTTACCATGTGGCAGGGAGCTGTGCTGTGTGGTTTTACAGCGAAACCCTTGGGCACAAGACATCACCTTGGAGCACAGGAGCACAGGAGCACCTCTGGCTTTCCCCTTCTGGAATTATATAAGATGCAAAGACCTTTGGGGTGGGGAGGCTTCAGGCAAACCTGCCCCCTGCAGTGACTCCTCTCCTAATCCAGGTGGTGGGTTTGGTTTGCTTGTGGGCTGGGGCAAAGTGGTGGCATCTGCAGGTGTCTCCACACTGCCCTCTTGGTGGGGAAAGATCTGTTGTTGTTTGTGACTCCCCTGTGCCAGAGATGTGGATTCCATGGGGACAAGGGCAGCCAAATAGGAGCCAAAGGTCCCGTGGAGAGAAGTCCATCTGTTCTTGCTCCCGGGGATGCCAGAGTATCCTGGGAAAGAGGAGCATGTGGCACTGGGACCCTGAGGCAGTTGCCACAAGGTGGCACTGGCCTCTTGTCACCCAGCCTGGTGGCATCCAGCCAGCAGCTGCAGGGTGGGAGAACCCCTGCCACAGGCTATGGTCCAAATTTAACTGCAGGGATGGACAGGAGGAGCTGCTGATGGATCAGAAATCAGGTGGGTAATGATCTGCAGAAGCTATGTCTTGTAGGAGGGATTTTCCCATTTAGAGTCTGCTGGACTAGGGAAAAGCATTCTCATGATATGCCACCCTTTAACAGGGTTTTTCCCCTTAGGTCATAGCAGAAGAAGAGACTCCAGGTTCACCAGATTCATCCCTCTCTCACAGAAGTGGGAAAAGCAAAAAGACCAGATCACCAGGGGGGATTTGGGGCACCACACTCACCATCCAGCACCCATCCCGTTCCAGGGCCCCACATCTTGCCCCTGGCATACGAGGCTGCTCCATGGCTCTTCTCATCGGAGGAGGACAAACATAACAGTGGTGGAAGAAACCCAAGAGTGGATTATGTGTCTCTGTCCCCACCTGGCCCAGTTCCCCTGATTTATTTGCAGATAGGTTTATTTTCCTTTCCCAGCGCTGCAACTGAAAGACAAACACAATAAAGCTTCTCCAGCTACTTCCTGCTTGGGCCAGGTGCTGGAGGACAGTGGTTGCACCTGGACCCCAGAAAGCCCTGCTGCCTCAGGAATCCCAGCGGGATCAGCCCCAAAGCGAGCTCCCCAAAACCCCTGCTTCAGGTTTTGTGCCCAAGCAGAGGGTGTGGAAAATCAGGAATTAGTCACTGAGCTGCTGCCATATCAGTGCCTCTGGTGCCAAGGTTTCCAGCCCTTCCCCAAACACTCTCACACCTACTATCATTTTTCGGTTTAGGGTTTGGCGCCACTGTTTGGGCTCAGGAGTGCAGCCGTGTTTAACCTTGGAATGCAGGCAGAAAGGCCCCTGTGGGCCAGCTAATCTAGCTGCAATTAAAGACAATCATTATGCCATTATGAACAGGTTAAGACCTGTGGGAGACTGGGTCACCAGTGCTGCCCCACAGCCTGTTTTGAAGGACAGGGACATTCACTGTTCTGGACACCGGCCACTCCACAGACCAGATCCAAACCCAGCCAGCTTAATAGCAGAGTCAAAGCCAAGGAGCCAAGCAGGACCCAAGAACATCCCTTTCCCGTCCATCACTGCGCCCTGACCCTGTGGAAAACACATTTGGGACCTGCAGTACAAAAGGCCAAAGCTACAGCTGACAGCAGGAAGGAAGCAGGAAAAACTCCAGCATCACCGTCCGGAGCTCGGAGAGACCTTTGGAGATGCGTGGAGCCACACGACTCCAGCCAGGCTTGGGCCATGCTCACAGTGTGCCCACGGCTCCAGCAACACTCTCCAGACAGCAGCAGAGACAAAGCAGCTCCTTGGGTTGTAGGCTTGCTCTATCCTGCAGGAACTTTCCCATCATAGGGGCTGTGATGCCACCCAGGGATTGCCCTTGAATCCACCTTGGTAGCACACAGGGAGCAAGTTTAGCCATTCCAGCATCCCCCAGGCCCTGGCATGGAGCAGTGCCCCATGGACTGCCCCCAGCAGTGACTCTAGTCAGAGAAGAAGCAAACACAACCACCCTGGAACCCACCACCTCCTTTAATTCCCTGCCAGAAAAGCAGGGCCTAGACCAGCTCAAAAATTACAGGATTGCAGCACCAGAAAAGCCTGTGTCACACAGCTGCTGGGAGCCCATGGAGGTCAATGCTGGTTGATCCAGTAGGCATCAGAAAATGGGAAATTTTTCTCCTGGAAGACCCCTACCAGCCTCAGCAGGTGGGAAAGTAGCTGCCTTTACCATCCCTGTCCCCATGGGGCTCAGTCAAGGTGGGTCTGCAGGACCAGGACCTGCCTGTGGCTTGCATTCTGCCAGCTCCTGCCAGCCAAGAGCTGTACCCTGGTGAGGATATCCTGGTGCTGCTCACACCAGGGCTGAGCATCTCCACGGTGAGGGTTCCCAGGAGATTTGGGGCCGGCAACACTGCCACATCCCACAGACAGTGGGATATGCAGAGCAACCTGACCCCAAACCCACTGGCTCTATGGGGACAAGGCGTTAGGGCCAGGCTCAGATCATGGAGACCCTGTTCTTGATGTAGACGTGGTACGGGTCACTGCGCTTGTCCACCTTTCGGGAGCGGGTGTAGCCCAGGATGAGGCTGCCCACCGTGACAGCGAAGAGCGTCATGACAAAGAGGATGTACATGTAGGCGTTGTCGTTCCGGCCGGGATGGCCAAGGCGGGTGTTCTGTGTAGCAGCAGCAGTGGTGGCAGAGCGGTCACCGGGGCAGAGGATGACCCCATGCAGTGTCTGGTTTAAGGCGTTAAGCATAGCCTGCAGGCTTTGGTGCCAGGTCTCCGTCTGGTTGTTCTCTTCCATGTCCTTCTCTAGGCTGCAGGAAAGGACAGGGAGACTCATAACAGGCTGCCCTCATGGTGGGGCAGCTCCCAGGATGATGGTCCTGCTGGATGCGACAGTGACCCCAAAAATGATCCCTGAAGCACCTCCTGTGCAACAAAGCAGGGCTGTCCAAACCCTTTGCATTCCTGGCAGCCCCTGGTCCTGCTGGACGCAACAATGACCCCAAAATGATCCCTAAAGCACCTCCTCTACCACAGAGCAGGGCTGTCCAAACCCTTTGCATTCCTGGCAGCCCCCTCTTTAAATTTCACTCCTTCTACAAAGGGAATAAAGCTCCCGGGGCTCTGAGGCAGCTGCCTGACCCCCTCTCGTGTGTCCTGTGAGGACAACGGAACAAAGCTGACCTGGGGGCCAGGACAGTTGGTTTCAAGGTCTGCTTTCCCTGGGAATGTGTGGGGATGGCAGGCACATATCCTGTACCCTTGCAAGGTGTAGAGCTGGCACAGCTCCCCACACACCCCTGTAGACACATGCATATCAAGGGGTCGCTGCCCTAAACCTCCCTTCCTAGGGGTCCCAGACCTCCTCTGACCTGCCTCCCTTTTGGACATTGTGCCCCTCTGCCAGCACCCCCTGGACCTCCATATGCCCCCTCTGTGCCCTTGTGCACCTTCCCTTGCCTGGGCCAGGAAGGGACACCAGGACACAGTCCCCCACGTGTGCTGTCCTTTGGGACATGCTGGCCCTACAAAACACTGTCACCCCCCCCAGGCATCCACCCTTTTCCCTCCTGCTCCCAAGCACCAGCAGCTCTACCCCATGCACAGGCAGCTGATCCCCCCGAGAAAGGTCACCCCAAACTCAGCGTGCACCTCTCAGGATGAGACCCCAGAGGAGGAGGAAGGGGCTGAGCAGCCACGATGGGCTCAGATCTGGCTGCCTTCCTGACTTAGAGAAAAGTTTGAAGCAGGAGGAGGCTGAACTTGAAAGATTTAGGGCAAGACCTGCAGTAGGATACCCGCAGATGGGATGCAGGATGGGGGGACCCACCTTAGGGAAGGTGTGGGGCCAGGAAGGGGAATGGGGGCCAGGAAGTAGGAAGGGAAGATCACACTCACCCGGGGTGCCCTCCCTGCCTGCGCTGCTGCCAGGCTGAGCCAGACTGAGCATCACAGGCAGTGGGAAGGGATGCGGCCGGGCTGGGAGTGCCGCCAGTCTCCTCCCCTTCCCGGGCAGAGCCACCTGCCACAGCCACCCAGCCCCGCCACGGGTCACCAGCCCAACCCCATAGGTCCTTCCACGGCCCCCTCACCGCAGCCAGATACCAGGGGCCGTATGGGGCTGGGAGAGCTGGATTCTGCGTTTCCCCTCCGGCACACGCTGCCGGTCACGTTTTCCTGTCCCTCCTCATCCGTCTGTCCCCGAGCCCTGACACTGGCACCAAGCCTGCCTGGGCACGCTCTTCCCTGCTCACCATTCCCTCCCAGAGCTGAGCCTGCTCCAGGAAATGGGATTTTCCTCTTTTTCCAGCCCCATTGCTCCCAGCTGCACCCTTGGTCCACCCAAAACCCTGAGAGCAGATGCAGAGAAACCCTAACACTTGTGAGGAAGAAAGAAGGCCCAGAGCAGTGGTGAGGGGCTGTGGGTGGGGGTCAGGTCTTGTTGGAGCAGGATGTAGGGACTTTAGTCTCAGGGGACTTTCTTATCCCTGTCGATTAAAATCAGTTTCTCTCCTCAGGCACCTTGACCCCTCTCCCTCCTCCTCCTGCTTTTCCCATTCACATCGCTCCAGCGGCCTTTTAACCACCATTTACAGCCATTTTCCACTCTCCCTGATCCCAGGGTGAGAATTTCTCTGGGTTCAGGGTGAGAAAAAGGTCATTATTCATAAAGTCTTGAGGAAAATAAACTAGCAAAGGATTGGCAGCAAAAGTTCCCAGCAACTCTCTTTATATAAAATCTGCCTCTTTTTATCCATCAGCAAGGGAAGGATGCTCGACCCACCAGTTCCTGTTCCTCTAGTCCAGCTGGCGCATGAGTGTTCACCCAAATTTTGGATTTTTGCGGGGAGAGCAGCAGAAAAAAAACCACAAAAGCACCTATTTGGGTATTTCCCCAGCAGGTGATACAGGGATGGTCTCAGCTGAAGGATGGAGTCCTTGGGGCCTGGGGAGAACAGCCCCAGGGGAGGTTTGGATGTTTAAGCAGCAGCCTAAACCTCTGTGCCACCATCCAGGCAGAGTCTACAGGCAAAGGCACAAGAGCTCTTGTCTCACAACAAAGCCCCAGGTGGCTGCCACGATGTCCATCAGCCATGCCGTGGCTTTGCCAAAACACCAGGCCAAGGCACCACAACAGTCCTAATCTCCTGAAAAGTCCAAGGTGCAGTCAAACACCTCCTGGAAGGAGTCGAGGAAGGGCTCCAGGACATGTTCAACAGTGATGTGCCGTCCCAACTCATGGCTCAGCGAGGTGACACCTTTCCCCTCCAGCCCGCAGGGGACGATGTGGTCAAACCAGGTGAGGTCAGTGCAGCAGTTCAGTGCCAGTCCATGCGAGGTGATGTGGTTGCCACAGTGCACACCTGCAGGGGCCAAAAGCACCCACCCATCAGCACCCATCACCAGGGATGTCCCAGTGTGAGATATTTAGTGACTACACTGTCCAGGTCACTATAAATATCCTCCCCTCCGCATGCTGTACTCCCCAATTCTGCCAGGGAAAACCCTAACCTAGAGGAAGGCTCCCCAATTTTGGAACAGATGGGGTGCATCCCCCAGCACCTCCCATTGCTGGAGTTTCCATGGGTTTGGACACAGGGCTGTACTGCAAAAGGGGAGTCTGGCCTGAAGGACCCCAGACCCAGGTGGCAGAGCCCAGCTGGGGGTGCTGGGCTGCAGAAAGGAGTGTAGGATGTGGGGCTGTGGAGGGGGACAGGGAAGGGGGCAGGGCTGGGGACCAGGCTGCAGGCACCCATCCATGGGTGTAAGGGCCTAATAAGCGCAGGGTGCAAGGTGGGGACGCCTTCCCTGGGCAGCTGTTCCAGTGTTCTGCCACCCTCCATGGAAAGAAGGTTTTCCTCATGTTGAGGTGCTGTGTTTCAGTTTATGGCCACTGCCCCTCGTCCTGTCACTGGGCACCACTGAACAGCGCCTGGCACCATCCTCTGACACCCCTTGGAGATATTTGTATGGACTGATGAGATTCCCTCTCAGTCTTGTCTTCTCCAAACTAACCAGGCCCAGATCCCAGAGTCTCTTCATAAGAGAGATGTTCCAGTCCTTCAGTCATCTTCTTGGCTTCCACTGCACCCTCTCCAGTCGCTTATCTTTCTTGTACTGAGGAGCCCAGAACTGGACACTGATTTTTAATCCCAATATCCCAGAACTGGGCACAGAAGGTATTTCTTCCCAATATCCCATCTAACCCTGGCCTCTGGCAGTGGGAAGCCATTCTCCCTTGTCCTGTCACTCCAGGCTCTTGCCCAAAGTCCCTCTCCTGCTTTCTTGAAGCCCCTTCAGGCACTGGAAGGAGCTCTAAGCTATTCCTGGAACCTTCCCTTCTCCAGGCTGAACACATGTCTCAGCTCGTCTGCAGAGGAGCGGTGCACACGTGCACACCCGCTCCCTGCCCCGCGTCCCCGCTCACCGATGGCACACAACTTGCTGTCGCCCATCCAGACTCCGGTGAAGGGCGGCGGGAGGGCGCGGGCGGCCCCCAGGCCGAGCCGGCGGCAGAGCCGCAGCACCAGCGCCTCCAGCCCGGCCACGTACCCGCGGAGCGGGAGGCGGCGGCGGCGCAGGTCGAGCACGGGGAAGGCGAGGAGCTGCCCGGGGCCGTGGAACGTGATGTGGCCGCCGCGCCGCGCCGCCACCAGCCCCGCGCCCGTCGCCCGCAGCGCCGCCGCCGCCGCCGCGTCCGGCGCGCCCCGCAAGCCCCACGTGTACACGGGGTGCGCCGGCTCGCTCAGCACCACGCTCTCCGCGGGCACCGCGCTGTCACCGCGCAAGGCAGCGGGGCCGCCCCCCCCCGCCCGGGCCCCAGCGGCGGGGACCGGGCCCCGCGCCGCCCGCGCCGCCGCCACGCAGCGCTCCTGCACCCGCAGCGCCTCCGCGTACGGCACCGGCCCCAGCAGCAGCACCCGCACCGGGGCCCCGGACATGGCGACATAGGGACCGGCCCCCGCAGCCGCCGGGGCCGCCGGGAGCCGCCGGGCGGGGCGAGCGGACGGGAGGGAGAGAGGAAGGAGGGAGAGAGAAAGGAGGGAGAGAGAAAGGAGGGAGGGAGGGAGTGTCGGAGGACGGTGAGGAGGGGATGGGGGCATGGGCAGGGGGACAGCGACGGGCTGGCGGATGGGGACAGGAGGCGGGGATGAGAACAGGAGGCGGGATTGGGAGAAGAGGCGGGGATAGGACAGGAGTGTAGGCTCAGGGACAGGCAAAGGGAGAGGCAGTGGGGATGGGGATAGGGGGTGGGGGACAGGAGCAGGGATGGGAGAACAGGGCAGAGGGGACAGAGATGGATGGGGATAGGGGGTGGGGGATGGGGAAAGGATGGAGGACGGGAGTGCGGGGAGAGGGGATAGACATGGGAGACAGGGCAGAGATGGAGGATGAGAGAGTGGACAGGAAGGTGGAGGATGGTGGTTTGGGGTTGGAGAGTGAGACAGGGCCTGGGGACATGGGACATGGTCTGAGAGAGGGTAATGGGGCCTGCAGTGGGGATAGAAGGTTGGGGACAGGGAGCTCGTGCCCAGGGATAGAAGTTAGAGATAGAGGACAGGGCCTGGGGAGAGGGGATAAGGCACAGGGTGAAGTTTAAGGGTCTGGGGATGGCTGATAGGGCCCAGGGCTGCAGAAGGGCCACAGGGAGGAGAGAGGTCCCCTGTCACCATGGGGTGTGGGACATAGGGCATTAGGGTGGGGGATGGGGTGAGGGGGGCACAGCACAGCACTGACGGGCAGGGAGTGAGGGCAGAGCATAGGGACACTATGTCTTGTTGGGGCTGGGCAATCACAGACCTGCTCAAAGTGGGATAAAATTAGGATTCAGGGCTAAAATCAGGATAGTTATGGATGCCCCAACCCTGGCAGTGTTCACGGTCAGGCTAGATTGAGCAACCAGGACTAGTGGAAGGTGTCCCTGCCTAAGGCAGGGGGGTGGGACTAGATCTTTATGGTCCCTTCCAGCCTTTAGTATTCCGTGATTCTGGGGTTGCACCTCAAGGTCATGGACTGTAAATGAAGTCCTTGTATTGCCAAGGTGCTGGTGTGAGATGCATTTGGTCACCTGGGGACTGGGAAAGAGATAAAATGTTCTCGTCTAAGGTTTTTATTCCAAATGTAGAAAATACTCAAATCTGGTCAAACGGCTAATGAGTCAACCATTAAATCCTGAGCAAACTGTTCCCAGCCTACAAAACTTCCACCTTATCAATGAGATTAAGTGTGTGAAAGTATGTTTTGATTTTATAGAGCAATCGACTGTGTTAATAAACTCTTGTTTTTATCAAAAAACTGGGCTGGTAATCTGCCCTTTGTCACTGTAGGTCTGTTGTCTGACAAGGTTAATTTCTCTGTTGCTGGCAAGGAAGGGAAAGTGTTCCCTTTGTGCGGTCATTTTCTTCATGAAAAGAGGGAAAAATTGGGGAAAAAGACAGCATAAACCTCACCAGGTGGTCATGTCAATGCATGGAGCAGCACCCACCTTGGGAATCATCACCTCAAACAACCTCAGGAGAGCTGCTCTGGGTCTCTGCCCTTGGCAGGAGAGACTCATATTTTGCACCAACATTGTGTGTGTAGCGGGTTATTTCCTTTTTTTTATGATTAAGCCTCAACTTTTTGCCTGGAGATCAAAGCCAAGGGCTCTTCCTTTTTGGCTGGTTGCAGCACTGCCTGCGTAGGATGAGGAGGGTTGTGTGTCACAGGTCTGGGATCCTCGTAAACAAGACGACAGAGGGGAGCGTGGTTGTGTCACTCGGGTAATTACTGTCAGTATCCTGCTTTTGAAGCAGGGAGGAAATTTGTATGGAAGGGAACCACAGATGGATCACGTTTTATCCTTCTGTCACAGTTTGAGTGGTTTTAAAGTGGTGGTGGTGGGGGGTGTTTGTCTTCATATTATTTGCTGTTCTGTCGTACCTTTTCCTTTGGGTACCTTAAATATTAGTCAACCCTCTTCAATCCTCACCAATTCTTTGGATTGTAGAGTTTTTCTGGCAGGGAAGCTTTTGAGCTAATGCAAATCAGGGCTTAATAGCAGGAAGGGGAGGGGAGGACAGAGGTGGTGGCTGTGAAACAGGTGCCTGGCAAGAGGGACTGTCAGAGCTCACAGGGAGCTACAGACAGATGCAAAGGGCAACATCTTGGCTCCAGTGAAGTCTGGGATGAAATTCCTGTTGAGTTTGGCAAGGCTAGGATGTCACAGAGAGGTGACAAGATCTGTGTTGGCGTCATGGGCAGAGCTGGGAGAGGAGTGCCCAGACTGGTACAGTAGCCCCCTCCCCACAAGCCTTTCAGCAATATCTTTTTTTTTTTCCAAGGAAATTGTACTCGAGGGCTGCATGCACTGTTTGCATATACTAATGAAACGGATTATTGAAAATGGGCAGGAGTTCAATGGATGGGCTGGAGCCCAGCTGTGATATGGGCCCACAGGCTCAGGAGAAGCAGCTTATCCCAAAGTAGCATCCCTGGTCATGTTTCTGGAATCATCACTGCCTGCCTTCCTTCTCCCACAGGGCTGGAAGGAGCTCAGAAGTCACCCTTCACCCTGATGGGGTTTGATCCTGGCTGGTCATTCCTGATATCCAGCTGGGTCTCCAAGACTTTGGGTGATGGAGAAGCCTCTTGGCTTGGTGCAAACGGAGGTGCTGCTGGGAAGCCTTAAGCTATGGATTGATTTTTCCTTGATCCAATGACACCAGGTCCTCATGTGATACCTTGGAAGCGTCAACCAACCTCCCTGCAGAGAATACCTGCAAGTCCTGCAAGCACCAGCCCTGCAGTTATTTAAAAGGACATTTTCACTACATGTTATTCCAGAAAAAACCTTTCCCTAAGGTTATTGTAAAGGGAATCTCTCGGGCAGAGATCCCTGCTTCATTTGGGCAGGATCTTGGTGGATGTGTCCCACTGGCAGAACCACTTCTGCCCCTACAAGCTATTCATTTACTCAAAGAAGCACGTTCCCAAAGCTGTGCCAGAGGGGAAGAAAAACAAGGAAACACACGTGTCAGGCTGTGCCGAGGGCTGTGCACCACAGGGTGCATTAAGGAAGTACTTAAGGAAGCTCCTTGCTGGCCTAGGGAGACAGGTCAGAGCCCGTGCGTGTTTCTGTGCTGATTGCACTTCTCCTGGCAGTCGTCATTTTTTGGCCCACCTTGTAGCCAACGTGGCAGGCTCCAAGCTCCTCCAAGCTTCCCCTGCCAGCAGGAGCTGTTTCCACTCACAGAGCTTGGATGCATTGTTTATCCTGCATCAGTACGAGTGAAGATTCATCTCCAATTTGTCTCCAGCTGCTGGCCAGACCCCCTGCCAGAGGTCACCCTGCCAGGGGTCACCCTGCCCTCTGGACAACCATTACAACTCCACAGACCAGTCAAAATCATCCCACTTGGGTTAAACACTCTTCACAGTGTTTTTAAGAAGGATCTGCTGGAAGAGCTCAGGGGAAGAATGGCCGGACTTTAGGGACAGCAGCTCCAGAAGGGACACCAGAGGAATGTCCAGGTGCTGCCTCCAGATCTGGGGCACCCAACATCAGAACAATGTGGAGCTGCTGGAGTGAGTCCAGAGGAGGCCACAGAGATGCTCCAGGGGCTGAGGAGCCAGGCTGGGAGACTTGGGGGTGTTCAGCCTGGAGGAGAGAAGGCTACGAGGAGGCCTTAGAGCACCTTCCAGTACCTAAAGGGGCTCCAAGAGAGCTGGAGAGGGACTTTGGACTAGGGCCTGGAGTGACAGGACAAGGGGAATGGCTTCCCACTGCCAGAGGGCAGGGTTAGATGGGATATTGGGAAGAAATTCATCCCTGTGAGGGTGGTGAGGCCCTGGCAGAGGTTGCCCAGAGAAGCTGTGGCTGCCCCATCCCTGGAAGTGTTCAAGGCCATGTTGGATGGGGCTTGGAGCAACGTGGTCTAGTGGAAGGTGTCCCTGCCCATTGCAGGGCATTTGGAATGGGATGATCCTTAATGTCCCTCCCAAACCAAACTATTCTGGGATTCTAATAACTTCTCCTTACATCCCATTCGAAATGCCCATATAGGTCCCTCAGAGTATAAAGCAGATATGAGTGACATCAGAACCAGATTCCATAGAATTTTAATAAAGAGGAAAGAAATCCTCAGCTAGAGAATTTTTACCTCTTATACTCATTCTTACTCTTAAAGCCAACCTGCAGTACCAAGGCACACACTGTGCCCTGAGGGTGAAAAGTGTAATTTTACAGTTCTCAGCCACAATCACCCACGTCAGGAAACCCTCCAGAAAGCTCAAAGCAGGAAACTTAAAGGAAGAAAGAACAAAAGATGAAAAGAGAGACTTTAGGAAAAAAAAAAAAAAAAGATGAGTAATTCATTTAAGACCTGAACACGAGAAGGAAATGTCAAGCCAGGAGCAGAATGTCACAGTACAAGAATAACTACAGTGAAACAAAGAAAAAGAGACGACAAGAGTGCGAGAGAAGGTGCCTGGGACACAGGAGGAAGAGGATGTATATCATTTTCTTACCAGCAAAACAAGCACGGTGCCAGCTGAACAACGCCATTGTTGTGAGCTCTAGAGAAACACCCTAGCACTGCAGGGCCATGTGCGTCACGTGAGTTTATTTTAACACTTATTAAACACGGGCAATTTCCTTATCTGACATTTGCCAGGTAAAAAAACTGTCTTGTTCAAGTGAGGATCTGCATCCGCCTGGGGTTCTCATGGAGTGAGTGACTTCGTCTAGGACAAGGGACACTCTTGATAAATGTGGCTACTCTCAGGTGACATCACTGCCTGCACTCCCCTTGGGCCACCACAACCCTCTGCAGCACCCCAGGCTGGACACAGAGTGGCTGGAAAACTGGAAGAGTCCCTGGAGGTGCTGGTTAACAGCAGCTGAACACGAGCCCAGGTGTGTCCAGGTGGGCAAGAGGCCAAGGGCACCTGGGCACTGCTG